TTGTTAAGTACCTTGAAGTATATTCCAGTCTTGGCTCTAAAGGAGAGAAATTTGGTTACAAATTATGGTTGGGGGGACCAAGCTATGAATAAATCTGTGTATCTAGAGTGCGCTGAATTTGCTTGATCTACAGATCTTGATAGTGGAAAAGCTGTATTGTTTATATCTCAGTTTTAATGTTTTATAGAAATTGCAAGATTTTGCTAAGTGTAAGCCAGTGACTTATATCACCCAGTAGTTAATCCAGCTACTCTTCATCTCCCTGAGCCTCAGGGACATGCCAGTTAGAATATTCCCTTCTTGTGCTTTTTGGATGGAATGTTGACTTAGTTTAGTTAATGGGAGCATTGTGCTCATGAGTCTGTGGCATCATCATGATGTTATAAAGGAGGTGGCTATTTGTGTGAGGTCCTTCCAGTTTCCTAGAGAATATTCTTACTATTAGCGAGTCCTAATATTCAGTAATGGGAGATTTATTCTTTTGGCTTAAGTCTTGGTCCCACATTAAAAACCAGATATTTGTGAGAAAAGAAGTGTACTACAAAGAAAGGAGGGGAAACTCCTATTTATTGATTACTGTCTGTGCCAGGAATAGTGCAAAATGTGTCCCACATATTAGCTCATTTAATTCTTAATAATTCCATAATGTAAGTACTTTTCATCCATTTTACACATGAAGAAACGACTGAAATAAATTAGTAACTTGACCAAGGACATCCCACAGCCAATAGATGACAGGGTTAAAGTCAGCACCTTTGTCTGGCTCCGTTGCCCATGATCCTGTTGTTCTATGCCTAGTGAAGATGAGAGGCTAGCTCAGCACAAATCCAGTATTATTACTAGACAAACAACAAGGTAGTGGGGTCAGCGGCAGAAATTTCTTTATTTGACAAACAGCAAATGTCTACCTTTCCAAGGTCACCTATGGCCGCCTTCCATTCTTTATTCCTCACATGACTCCCCACCCCCACACACACCATATTTGTAGTCCACTTCTCTACATTACAGATGGTCTGGACAAAGGTAGAAGCAAAGAGGGTTGTGGAATCTGCCCATTCTCCATCTCTTTTTCCAGGCCAGTCCCTTTCTTTCAGGTGAGCATACGAAAGTGATATCAGTATCACTGATGGCCAGAGTCAGGTCTAAGACAGGCTGAAGATTCCCAGTCACAATAAAGAGCTAACTACTGCTGGTGTTTCCAGCAAGAATGACCTTGTGGGATACGTGCCCTGCTGGTTTAGACCCACCACCTAGTTAGACTGTTTTCTTCTATTCTATAGAACCAGAATATGAGAGGCTCTATCCCTAAACTTCGGGTCTGTCTCCTGCTCTCATTATAAGGTAGCAGAATATAAGGTAGCACAAAGAAGTGTTGGGCTTTGGGGACAAAGACAGGGATTCAGATCACAGACTTTCCACTTCCTGTCTGTGACCTTGAGCAAGTCACTCTGTGAGCATCTATAAAATGTCCATTATACAACATACTCCCAGGATGATTGTGACCAATAAATGGGACAACAATATGAATGAAGCCTCAAACATTGTTCCTGGCTTCTTCACAAATGCTGGCAATCTCCTTTCCTTTCCAGTTTCCATCCCCCGGCCCCAACCCCACTCCTTCAACTAACATACTTGTCGTTATATGCCTTTTAAAAGATAGAACTAGAATTTGGGGACTTTGGGGGAGACCATAATATGTAGGGAAGGGCAGGAACTTCCAGGCATGTTTCTATGTTATAAATAAAAGCAGATTAATCTACTAACTTCTTGAGGTCAGAAACCCATGTTTTATCCTACCCAGCATACCCTGCAGCTAATATTTGGCACAGCACCCCTGTCAATACTCTCATTTATTGAGTGCTTACTGTCTACAGACAGTCTTTTCCTCTTTTGCCTTTCATCCCCTTTAAACTGCCCAGTAACCTATATAAAGTAGGTATTCGTATTCATAGTATGTAGTGAGGTAACCAAGGCACCAAGCCAGTCTCTCAAGGTCAGGATTCAAACTTCATTGTCACTGATTTCAAATCCCTTCTTTTTTATTACAACACTCTGCCTCCCCGATAAAAATAGTTGTCCTCATTTCATTTGATTTTTTTTTTAAAGATTTTATTTTCCCTTTTTCTCCCAAAGCCCCCCGGTACATACTTGTATATCTTTAGTTGTGGGTCCTTCTAGTTGTGGCATGTGGGATGCTGCCTCAGCATGGCTTGATGAGCGGTGCCATGTCTGCACCCAGGATCCGAACCAGCAAAACCCTGGGCCGCTGCAGCGGAACGCACAGACTTAACCACTGTGCCACGGGGCCGGCCCCAGATTTTATTTTTTTAACCAGATATTTATTGAACCTTTATTTGTGCAAGCTATTTACTAGATTTAGGATTTATTCTAAGATGTATAAGACCCAATTCTATGTAAGCAACTACACAGTTAACTGTGATTGAGGTAGAAGATGATAATCTCATAATTAATGAACAAGTGAAGGGCCCTGAGGTTCACAGGTGGGTGAGATCGCCTCTGATTGGGACAAATCATCAGAGGCTTCATGAAGGAGGGGGTGTTTGAATGGAGCCTTGAAGGCCGCATTGCCTCCTACATGTACTGCACTTCTGTATGAGAAGTGCTTAGCTGGGTTCCTAAAACATAAGTAATTGACAATCAATAAATGATAGCCATAATTAATAGATGCTGTAACTATCCAGGTCGATATAGCCAGATAAATATAAGGATGAGTGGTATACATTTGTCTGGAACGTCAGAACGTTGGTATTGGTTCTGAACTTTAGAGTTAGCAGCTCTCATAACTTGAGCTCTTCAGCAAAGTTAATCAGAAGTGCATTTGCAGCTATTAAGGGCATCTTAGTGACCAAACCCCCAGCGCTTTGAGGGTAGCTAAGAACTTTTTCATCCTGAGCTGCTATTTTCTATCTCTTTACTGCACTAGGTAGCTGTCCAAGTCGCAATTAACCCAGTATTTCTTGATTAGGTAGAAAAATTAGGAAGGACATTATGACTCTGCATTGTCTATAGTAGACTTTGCTTCTCAATGACAAAATAGTCACTTTTACCCAGGCATGAATTTTCTGGATAACTCTACCATGGATATTCTTAGGCTTTGGTCGAATTTTAGTTACTACAGCTGAAGGACTAGGGATGATCTGTAATAAAGGACCTTGATCAGAAATAGGAAAAAAAAGCTATTTTGGTGACATGGGTGATTGTTTTCTTTAACTTAGTAAGTTAAACATTAAGTGTTAAACATTGTGGAGAAAAAAAAATTACTGTTAAATTTGCCTTTGGAGTCTCTGTTTTTTTCCTGATGCCTACTGAGAATCAGATAAGCCTCACTTTAGGTTGTACATGACTGGAGAGTTGGTTGGCCTTTTTATTTTTAGTCATCACATGACAAACTAGGTCTAAGCTGAAGAGTAATTTAGGTTAGGCAAGGAAAGTTCTTTCCGTTGTATTTCCTCTTAGAATGAGAACATTTTTTATCTCATATTAATCACATGAAGATATAAATTGTGGAAATGAACTTCTGTAGATGCAAATATTTTCTGCCTTTTATTTATTTAAAAATGTTTTTAAAAGAATAAACCATGTTAAAAGAAGGAACTACAGACTCAAGTGAGTAAAAAACTATTTGGGGATGTTTAGAAAATCAGTCATTCAATATTTCCAATATCTAGCATGGTTTAAGGACCACTTCATACCCTAATTAAATTAGAATCTGCATTGGCCACATGCTCCCTCTAGCTTATGAAATCTGAGATAAGTTGTTTGCACCATCAAAGGGACTGAATTCATTTAAATATAGAGTTGTAGATTCTGTAAATACAGTGTAACATTAGAATCATAATGAGTTAAACTTAATTACTGTAGCACGAGGAAACAGATGTTTAGGGAACCAATATGGGAAAACTTAAGCTTCTTATAGCACCTTAGTAAGGAGTATAGGACTTGCTGTCAAATGGAGCTGGGTTTGAGTCTCTTACCCAGCACCCCTCTTTCTACACCAGCAAACAACCACCCAAGGGTCCTGTCAGCACTTACCCTATACCTGGGACCTGTGTACAGGAGCAGTTATTCCCAAGGAGCCTCCACTATGACCTGGTCTCAAGCTCTTGAATAAAGAATGTTGAGACTAAGAATTAAAATAATGGTTGGCTCTATTTAAGTATAGATCCACAGCAGAACTACTCATGGTAGGGAGACAAAGCTGACCGCTCCAGGGTGGTAGCAGTGTTATATGCATGTTCCCTGTTCTGCATGAAAATAGTACAATACCTAATTAAACTCCTTTTCTTTTTCATCAAAATACTTATCAGCTTTTGCTCATCTTTAATAATAGTGGGTTTTAGTTAACTCACCTCAGTCTGTATGCACAAAGGATGGTATAGATCGAGCCTTCCATAATTTGCCTGGGAGTGGTGCATTCTTTTTGAAACCAAGTGCTGTGTGTTCATTTTCCTTTGCTTTTAATAGGTGAAAAAAAAATTCCATTTTGTAATGATGCATGACTCATTCATTGCTCATTGTCTTCCCACTGATTTTTTTTTTTTTTTTTTTTTTTTTTTTTGCCTTGAGCCAGCAAGAAAATGTTACATGAGAGGAGGGAGAAACAGACAGAATGAGTTGAGGAATACAGTACTTAAATACTGTTGCTTGATTTTCATTGGTTATCTCCTTTCTTACGGTGACCAGTCTAATCCAGCCTTCCTTGTCAGATCCCTCCCTTCACCCACCCTCAGCTAGGGGCTTCACAGGGTGTCTGTTGCTAGAAACTGATTGCAGGCAGTATGTAGGCATCTTTCATTCAGAATGGACATTAATATATTGAATAGAGAAGAAAGCTTTTAGAAATGTATCATTTGTCAGAATTGCAGGGCTTTTAGAAAGGAATAGTGAGATGCTGAATGTTTTGCATGTTAGCGTCGACTCTTTATTTCTGTTCAGACTCTTAAGTTTTCAGATGCTTAAATATAGAGCCCTTTAAAAAAAAAAGGAAGAAAGAAGAATTTTTCTGGTTAGTCGACCTCTTTTTAAGAAGTGCTTCATCATCCTCCTCCACCTCTCCGTGATGTTTCTCTGCAGCTCTCTGTAGGTTAGAGTTCTGTGCTGCCTGGTAGAATGCTCATTTGTTAGCTGAATAGAGTTCATCGACAAGACATAGATCAATATAGGTTTTATTTCTTTCCTGTGAATTCCAAAATGCCATCCAAAGAGTCTTGGTCGGGTAGGAAAACTAATAGAGCTGCAGTCCACAAATCAAAACAAGAGGGCCGTCAGCAAGATTTATTGATAGCAGCCTTGGGAATGAAACTGGGTTCTCAAAAGTCGTCTGTGACAATCTGGCAACCTCTGAAACTCTTTGCTTATTCGCAGTTGACATCACTTGTTAGAAGAGCAACTCTGAAAGAAAATGAGCAAATTCCAAAATATGAAAAGGTTCACAATTTCAAGGTAAGAATATTTGTTTTTAACCTTTTCTTATAAGAATGGAAATGCACATTACTTGAAGTATACAATATTAAAGGAATATCTTCTGATGTCTTTTTAAAACTAGAATGACTGGACTGAAATGTTCTTGCTATTTAGGGAATGAAGATGTTTTAAGCATGATTTTATTTAAGGAATAGCTGAATAAAGCTAATAGAAGCCAACCCCATTTTCTCTTAATGCTGATTTAGTGTTCTGTTTAATCAGTGTATACTTGGTGGTAAAAGTCTTGACTCATGTTAAAGAGGTCTCATTTAAAGATATTGGCGTTATTATTTGTGATGCAAATGTGTCTAACTACCTTTGTCGGTTATTTCGTGAGAGGATTAGATCATCTCTGTTCATTTCTGGTAAAAAGCTTTGGATAGAAGAGGCATGTGCTGTTGCATCTGGATGGAGCAGATGGTCTGCATTTCCCCTAGTTTCTGCCTTTTCTCTTCTGTGAATGAACTGACCATGATGAAAGGAGGATTGCTACCATGGGACTGGTGATGCTGCCGGCACTGGCAGCTTCTCTTCACTTTTTGAATAGCTTTATGCTTTCACCTTGTATGTGTGTGTGTGTAGTTTTTAATTACTGTGTTAATGTGGTTTACCAACTATACTTTAATCATCTTTCATCAAGGTGATATGGTGTTGATTCAAGCTGTGCGTAGATCTTGCCTGTATTTATGGCATGCTATAAGGCCTCGAAGTTCAGTCCTTTGCAACCTAATTCAGAGAACATACAGTGTGGGGCCATGCCTAAGGAGATCCAGTTACACTTAGTGAGTGGATGCACTGGCATTTCTGTAGGAACTTCCCAATAGTTATACAACTTTATGGTGAAGTTCTTGAGACATGAATATTTTTAGTTTAGACAAAATTGTCATTAGTTTTGATGTTGAGGGTATCTGGTTTCAAAAGTTGATAAAGCTGGAAACCCTGATCTTCAGATTATTTATTAATTTATTCAACACTTATTCAGCAGATAGAAGTTACCAGGCTCTGTAGCAGGAAATTTCATTCCAAATTTGTAATTCATCCTGATTTTTAACACTACCATTTACTCAAATGCTAAATACCAAGCCCCCAATATGCTCTGCTTTTTCCATAGTGAGATTTTTATGATCTTCAGATCATTTTGGGATAAAGGATAAATTCCAAAATGTATGGACTGTGTAAAGATTGCTAATATTTCAAGGTAAAACAAGTAGCATTTTCTTATCCCTCTTTACACATATTAAGGACCTTACCTTTCAACCAGTATCTTCGATTTAAAATGAAATTGAGACCATTCAGTATGTGCATACAGTCGCCACCACATCTTGCATTTATGACCCCACAATACATGTAGGTCACTAGGCCTCAGTTTTTCCTTGCATGATATACAAGCTGGTATTACAGGATCTCTATCAGGAAAATGACCCCAAATAAATCCTTTTGGAAATATAAAGTTATATGCATGTTAGATCACAAAAATAGCCCTTTAGGTTCCTAAGCAAGAAACTAATCATACTGTTTAGAAATGGCTGAGATTTTAAAGTCTATCTCCAAAGATGGACCCTCTGGTGTGTTCAGCAGGAACAGATTGACCTATTAAGGATGCCATTTTAGTGCTAAGTCAAGTTCATTGTACATACTTTCTCTCCATATTGGTTAAAAGCAAATAATAGGGCTATTTAAGGATTTGCATAAATAGGCACATTCTCCCTGTTTTTTGGTTGTATCTTCCAGTAATTTCTCAATTTTAATTTAACAAATTTTGTACAGCCAGAAAGTGCTGACTATGAGCAAACATGACTCTTAGCTTGGTACCCAAACTATTTTAAAGATACTTTTCTTTAAAAAAAAAAGCACATTAAAAAGTAAAAGTCTGCTTTCTTCTCTGGAGCTAAAAAATTAAAACCAGCTTGGGCTTCCTGTTTAAAAAAAAAGTATGCTTAGGAACAAGCTTATGGTAGACAGTGAGTTGCATTACATATTTTTAGAGTTGCTAATAAGGTCAGAAGTCTCAGTATTTCTCTCTTTCCATTGAAATTACTCTTTGTTATTCAAAAAATGTTTCTGTGGGGTGTCAGTATAAAAATGAGACGGGGGGGTGGTTATCATACTTGACTTCCGAGAACATCCCCAGAAGAATTTAGACTCTGTGGCAGGAGCCGTTCTCTCCCACACAAATGTTCACTCCGAAGGTCACTGCTTGTGATCTGTGAGTGTGTGCAGTTCAGAAGTGGACTGTGGGGGGAAAAACCCTGAGCATTTACGTAATGGTCATTGTTCACATGGCCTTGCCGCTGCCTATTTTCTATCTTGGTAAAAGTGTGTTCTGCCCAGCCACCAGCCCACTCACCAAAGCCTCATTTCAATGTAGTTTTCTTTTTGCTTCTTGCACTGCCTTGTTATGTAATGTTGCTCTGTGGTGTTGGACAGCTGCCAAATCTCATTTCAGAGGCTGAAGCCAAGAGCGTCTTCTGCCTTTGGTGGGAGCATTCACCAAGGTGAAATCCAAAAAACTCAGCTGGGCCTAATTCCAGACAGGTATTTGTTTTTTGAGAGTTTTTGTTTTTTTTTTTAATAGAAGAGGCAAAAAAGGAAACAGGGAAGGCTTCCCATTTTGCTGTGTTATATAACACTCTTTTTTCTGTGGTTACTTGTAAGGATTTGATAAAGAATCTACCACAAGAAGGATAGTTGTCTCTCTTAGGGAGATCATTTTAAAAATAAATGTCCCATATCCTTTAAACACCATTACTCTGTAACTTGTCAGCTTAACTTAGAGTGAAAATAATTTTAACTGTCTCCTGGATTGACCTCTCATTTTAAGAACCGCTCTTATGCTAACACAACAGAGAGAGAAAGTGAGCAAGCAAGTGCTAATTTCTTGAACAGACTTAAAAAGTAAACTAAACAGAGAACCTCTGACATTAAAAGTAAGACACAGGCACCCCATCAGCGGTGACCACGGCCTCCCTCTGAGGCTCTGGATAGAAGGATAACTGAGACCCAGCCCGTGCCCTAGGAGCTCGCTTATTATTTGGATGACCTTGGGCAGATTGCTTCATCTCTCTAAACCTCTGGTTCTACATCAGAAAAATTGAGTGCCTGGTATGTGTAGGTACGTGGTAGCCACTATTTTTGTTATTACAAATTATCCCTAAGTCGATAGTTTTCTGAATCCTTACTAAGACGTTTTGCTTGCCCAGTTGAGAGGTCCTGATGCAATTGAGAACCCTGGCCTGATTGTGGGGGCTAAAGAAAGCTCTTGCTCTTTCTTAGCTCCCAGGCAGGGTTAGATGTTACATAAGAGCAGTTGCATTTTCATGCACCACAGAATACAGTGAAATCTTCTGTGATTTTTTTTTTACTCCCTCCAAATTAAACTACTCAGTGTTTCATTTGGTATGTTTAATTCAGATAGCTCTATAGAATAAAGTCAAGATGACATATAATAATAATAACAGAAACCTGGCTACTTAGGCATATAAATAATTAAAAGAAAACAACGTTAAGAAATATAGTGAATAGACACTTTAAAATATGTGTAGTTCTTTTTTAAGGTAGTCTTGAAGTGGTGACTGGTTGATTTTAGAGTTTCAGATACTTGCATTCTGCATACAAATGAAAGATGTGATGTATTATGTAAATAGATTTAATGTTGCCAAGATAATATGCAAGCAATGAATCCTGAAATGTGAATTGATACTGTAATTAAAATAACACTATAACATAAACATCAGACTATTTAATAAAATTACTGATCCAAGACCTACTGGGATAAAGTGATAATAGTGAAGCTGTCCATCCTGGCCAACAGACCAGACATTCTGCTGTTTGATAAACTGAAGGGTTGAAGCAGCCAGCACTCCTGCTGAAAGTGGTCTTTCCTTTTAGGATGGACTCAGATAAATCCAAGCCCTGTGCTCTTCATTTGATTTACATTTGAAAATAAATACAAAATGAACCAACAAGTAAAAACTGATTTAGTATGAAATGTGGAGTTAAACTACATGATCTATGAGTTTTCTTACAGCTCTAAAATTCTCTGATTATATTAAGAAGCATTACATTTGTTAGTATAATTATTCTGCTTTCCATCGTTAAAATTTTATTAAAGCCCACATAGGGACAAATTTTTAATATGTTGATTTTTGAAAAGAATTAAAATTATATGAAAGCATATTTTTTAAAAACTAGTTATATCATCAGTGAAATGACATATTCAAGGACTCTTCCTACCACCGCCTTTGCATTATCCCCACCAAGGATCACACCACCACCTCTGCCTTCTTTGCTCCCTCCATTCTTCCTTCCTCCGTCTCCATTTCTAGTAAAATGCTCCAGAAGCATCTGTTGGATGACTAAGTAAACGAGCACACAGTATGACATGGTGGACCTTTGCTGTGACGGTGGTGGTGGTTCTTGTTATTTTGAAACCACTTCTCATGGCAGCAGGAAATTTCAACACAAAAATAGATCCTTCTAATGCTCTTAAGACTTGTATTGTTACAAATGGTTTTTTAAAAAATCAAATTCATGGGAGTTTTTAAAATGAAACAAACCCTAAAATGTCATCATGTTACCTTATCTACTGGAGAACCTGTGTTCACATTTTAAATGCTCAGAAATTTGAATATTGTTTTGAATTAATAGTAAGATAAAAAAAGTTAAATGCAATATGACAAAATGGAAAAGGCAGCCTGGCATGTCTCATTATTAAGCTTCAGCAGTAATGTCACTCATCATTGCTTCTCCTGTGGATCTGAACGTGGAGTGTCCAAAATAAACATTTTAAAGGGATAAGTAATGTTTTTCTCCAAGTAGGAGATTAAATTGAATTATATATTTCAATATTATGCATATATATGTATATATGTGTGTATGCACACACACACAATTCCTGATTCTTAATGTAGGCCACTTGCAAGAAAAAATAAAATAAAGATCAGTGCATAGCAGGGATTTTTCTCTGCTTGGGGCAGTCA